CGTTTTATCAATGCATTCTGCCACCACCTGCCCTTTGAGGACATTTGTGATGTCAATTCGGCCCGAAATGAGAATGAGTTTGACTTTAGAGGACTGAGATCAGGACTTTGTGATGGTCACACTGACGCTTTCCCCTTCCTGTCCTAAAGCCACTTTGTAACCACTTTGGCTCATTGTCAGTGTGGAGACCAATCTCTGCCCAGCTTTAAAGTCCTGGCTGTTGTCTGTAGATCAGGGGTGTCAGAGTCAGACTTGTTTTCGTTTTGGGCCAAATCAAGATCATGAATGCTCTTAAAGGGAATGTGTCAATAAAACCCGTTCACAAACTGTTAAAATATCAATGAATCCTTAAAATTAAATAATATTATTGAACTTCTTTTCAGTCCCTCCAAGATTTTGTGGTTCTTTTTGTGATTTTTTTTTTTTTTTGCAGTAACAATAAAAGTGTTTGGTACTAATGTGGAAATATTTACACTTATTTATGACGGTAAATGCGACTTTTTATTACTTGCCGTAGACATCAATTATGGCTGAGGCAGCTGTTTAGTACAAGTGAAGTTTTGTAAATGTTTGAGAAAAATGAGTAATAAATGTTTCTTTTTAGCTTGTTTAACTTCTTACTGATTTATTTTCTTCTTCTTCTGTTTGACAGCCAGTCTTTTTATGCCTCTGTATTTAGGGGAGCTTTATTAGGAGAGCAACATCTATTCAAAAAAACATGTTTATTGAGCCTAACTCACTCGCCGGCTGTGTTGAGGTGAGTTTTAATGAGCCGTTGGAAGCGCCTGGGTGAGCGGGTGAAAACGGCTCTTTGACGACCCGGGGTTGTGCTCTGACAGCTCTGATCTTTTAAGCTGGACTCTGGGATGTGTGTTTCAGCTCACGGTACATCATCTTCACACCACGCTCTGACTTAGGAAGCTGCATTGAACTTTTAGCAAATAAATCTCAACTGCGACATTTTGAAGAACTTCGCTTTCCCCTTAAAAAAGAAAAACAGCCACCTACAATTAGTCATCCAGAAGATTTCCACTTGGATTAAAAGAGGATGAGAGAGCTGAGTGATATGCATTTGTACGTTACTGAATCGAGATGACGTAGGAAGCAGGGTTTTTTTTTTTTGTAGCTTCCTGTATATATGCCAATGTTTTTTTCCTGTATCTGCTGGATTCTACTGGATTTCTCATGTTGTGGTTGTTCTCTCTCAGCCTCTTTCCACTGAAGGGATGAATTACTCATGAGAACTTGGCATTTCACCACTGGGATCTTCACCTTATCTTATTCCTAACATCCACTGACCTTTACATAGGGATGATGCACTGATGTCTGCAGGGGAACAAAAGTATGAACAGAAACGCTGACTGTGTGGTGTTATTAAAAAATCTCATGTTCTGAAGCAGAACACAAAAATTTAAGCAGATGAAAACAAGTTACTTTTTTATATTTTGTCACCTTTTTTTATTACTTTCAACTCAAATAGTTTTAATCAAATTAGGTTTGGAGTAATCACACTTCAAGTCTCGGTTTCCATTTTCCTCACCATTTTTCTATTTTCCATTTCCATTTTTTTTGTTGGTCAATACTTCCACCCACACACTTTTCATTGCATAAACAATGAAGGTAAACATAAGGCCACAACTTCGAAGGCGTATTTTGATCATTTTCTGCGTTTTTCAAAAAGTTGAATGAGAACTCTTCAGTTCTTAATTTAAGCTGGTAATCATTAATGAAAGTCATTTTTGGTGTGTCTGTCAAAATTACCAAGTCATTAATTAAACCAAGTTTCATCTTATGAAAGAAAATTAACTGTGTAGTATTCAGAATCTGAAGGCTGAAAGGATCTGATCCCTATTGTTACTTTTATAAACATGTGACAGCTCAAAGATGCAGAAAGGAAAAAAACAATTAATAGCTATAACATGTGGCACTTTCGACATCCATCATTTGATATATGCTTTTAGCGTTTAATTGATGCTCAATGAGGTAAATGACATGATTTATGCTGTTGGATATCAGAAAAATCATGTTAATTGAAAAATCATGTTAAATCATTTTGAAGGGCTCTTAGTCTGTCAGATGTTTGAAATGGAGAAATATGCAACAAAAGGCAATAATTCAGGCGAAAGTTGTCAAAGGTTGATGGAGACACGTGTGAAACACTAAACTGGGATTAATTAATTCAAGTTGTTGCCTCATCCATATAAAGTTTCTGCTTTGGTTCTGACTAACAGATCTGCGTTAACTGATCTGCTTCAGTTTCATAACGTTAAGCTGGCACAGTCCAACTCTGACTGTAATTAACCACAGCACAGAATGACAGCTTGTCAGAAAGATTATCAAGGAAATAATCCAACCCTAATCTACGAACTTAACAAGAAATGTTTAGATTTGGGCTATGAATGTTTGCTCCTTGACTGTTAGGAGTACAAATACAGAAACTTTCCTGACCTTTTAACCTTTCAAACACCTGAGTGAAGGTCAAAGATGTTTTTCTTCTCTGTGGTTAGCATCATTTGCAACTATTTTAACAACTCTGTCAAAGTTGCTACTTGCTAAGCCCGTTGGTTGGGTGCTATCACAGTTATTCATCCGGCAGCCCGTCGTGTTTTTGAGTTAAAATTTTTTTTAAAGTTGACAGGAAATTTGAAAATATCACTTGGCAATCGTGTTATTAAAAGATTGGAAGATCAACACCTGAACATCAACTAAAAAGTCTTAAAAAATGCAAACATTTTAAAAAGACTTAAATAAATAAGCAATACTTAGGCTGGTGGGGGCACAATTAAAGCCTGGTGACCCGCCAGGCTTGTAATACCCTGGGGGAGACCCTGCATTAAATCTTAAAGCACTTTTATAAGTCAACATAAATGCACCTGATCAGCTGAATGGTGATGCACATATGCAGAATGATCGCATGCGGTTGTGAAGCAGTCAGCTCCTGGTTCTCTGAATCGTGATGGCTTCCTTTCAATGCTAACTCTCTCTCTCTCTGTCTTTTTCTCTCTCTATCTCTTTTCTTGTTTTTCTGCCACTACATGTCAGATTTTGATGTATTGTGTTTGCCAAACAAACACTTATCCATGTCTGCATGTTACTGTATCCTTTGATGATATTAGCTGCCAGTGCTGCTATGTGAGCTCCAGCAGAGCCACATTTCTTTGACGCCAACAGAAAACAAAAAGGGCCCGAGTGTGAGCTGCTTCTTAATCAGCCTAACTCTTTAGAAAGTCCTCGGTTTAGTTACCACAGTGTTCCTTCCTCATCCCAGTATTCATGGTGCTTTATTTGTCTTCCTCAAGCCGCATTGAGTCCAGGCAATTTTCTCTTTCGTGCCTTATTTCTAATGAAGCGTCGTACTGAACAAATGAGCTGTTTTTTACTTTGGGAGATCATAGGGGAAGGTAATGAATTATAGCTCAGCAGAATAATGGTGCCAAGTCTGAGAGACATTAGTTATTGTGCTGTGTGATGCTAATTTGCCAATGTGATGTCCCCGCGCACCCTCACAAGCATGAGAGAGGCGCTTAAATCACTGTCCAAAGCTGGGAGGGGATGCCGACACCACGGACACGACGCTCCGTCACCCAGGGCCATTAGACATCCCACACAGCTCCTTTTAAAAATACATGACATCTGCTCCCACTCTTCTAAATAGCTCATAGGAAATGATGAGGTTGGAAAAATGGTAGCACGATTACCTTAGATCATAACTTTTACTCGAAATGAGCTCCTGAGAGAGAAAAGAATAGTTAAAATATCTGTGTTTATCGAATATTATTAGAGTAAATACAAAATGCAGCTTTTAAATGGTTATTTAGTTTTTAAAGGGAAGTAAATCTATCCAAATCAGCCCTGAACTGTGTGAAAATATAATTACCGTCTCCTCGGACAAGCCACACCAAGGTTTTATTGCTGCCACAAGGTTAGAATCAATAATCACTTGAATACTTGAATAGATCCAAAGACGTTTTGTAGAAAACAAAGTAATTGAAAAGCCACTTCTAAGTCCAGTAACATCTATTACCCACAAAGGAAAACACCATTGGAACAGAACCTCTTTATGAGACATAGAGTCATGGTAAAATAGAGAATGTCTTCAGAGGCTTCCTTAAATTCGTTGTGATACAGACTGCTACAGGAGATCCTTCCTGCAAACAGCCATCACCGTCTACAATAACTCTTTAAATAAATGAGTTACAACATTTCATTTCCCTTTGGGATCAATGAAGAATTTTTTTAAATTAGAATTGGACAGTGAAAGTGGCCGATCTCCAAATTTATTCCAAGAACACACCGTGTTCTTGGAATAACACATTCCTTGAATGTGTTATTCCTGGAATGAGTAGCATTCCAAGAATAACACATTCTGTTTCACAACCAAGAACAAAATTTAAAGCTCTGTAGGCCTCGCTTGCCTTAAGGTCAGAGTTCACAATTCAACAAAAAAGAACGATACAGGGCATGAATGCCATCATTTAGAGACAAAAACCAAACAAAACACAAAGTCCTGTCTCACATTTGCCAAAATATAGCTTGATGACTATCAAGACTTTTTTGGGAAGTTTAATTCACTGTTTCTCTGCTCATTAGAGGACTGAAAATATAAAAGTGTTATTTTCACTGCTACAGTAAATAATGATGCCGGATGTTTTCACTCTTGTTTGTTTTTTTAAGATTGTAGAGATAAAGAGTGGGTAATTAGAATCAAGGAGTAAAAATCTGTAGTTTTACCCTCTAGTGAAACCAGTGTGCTGATTATATTTGTGATCGCTGCCAGACTCCTGGCACATAATAAACCCACAGCAGAAAATTTACATCAGTGCTCTGTCTTGTATTAATCTAGTTTGCATGAATCGTTTGCAGGTCATTGGAGGCTCAGGCCGTTTGTACACTTGCTTCTTGTCCTGTCACTACTGTCCCTGCCCAGCGTTCACCTACACCGTTCTACGCAGAAACCAAGGTCTGCTGGTGAGTCTCCCAAAACCTGGTTCTATATAAGCTGTGTCCCTATTTAGGTATTTTAAAGCTGCAGTATGTTTTTTCTGTATATGCCGTCATGTGACAGTGCAACATAACGGATAATCAGTGAAAAAATGAAGGTCCTCCTCCCTTTCCTACTATTGCTGTCTGAAGAAATGCACCGCTCCCTGTGAAAAATAACCAATCAGAGCCAAAAGGAGGGTCTTAGCGCTATGAATCACGCTCGTGTACGCACTGCTCAATGTGCTAATGGTGGAGAAACAACTTAGTGTTAAAGGAAAACTGTTTATCCGCCATCACTGGTGTCTATGCTAACTAGCCTTAGCATTCATAGCAGCCTCTGTTGGGGTAAAGCAGTTTTATTTATTTTTTTCAATTTAACATCTGACATCAGTCAGCTCATCATTATCACTGCTTAACTACATTCTAATCAGTACTTTCATTGCAAACCTTCAAACACAAAAGTGTTTTATCCGTCCAGTCTTTGCAAAATTACTTTTATTTATCGTTTTTATAGTCAATCCTCCAACAAGGATGAAAACTTAATTTCCATATATGTTGACTAATTTTAGGTCCAACTGAAAATGAAAGCCAAGATAAAAAAATTTTAAACAAGAATATATATTATAAGCTTCAGCTCGCATTCGAACGTGGGCGCTACGTTCACCATCTGAGGTTTTTCATGTTTCAAAGTGGATGTGACCTAAAACACCATAAGATGATCACATAAAACTCTAAATCAGTTTGAGAAAACTAAAGTTAGAGTCTTTTAGGGGATTTTATTAAGGAAATAATGAACAAACTTGCTTTATTAATGGAAACAACTAGGGGTGCACCGATTTACTGGTGCCAATTTCCTTAATTTTCGGAGATCAGTGATCGGCCGATTTTGACCTATGAAGCCAATCTTATCCACCGATGTTATCAACCTCGGCAAAGGTCTAAAAATCATCCCTGTGCTTTCCTTTTCTCCCGTGAGAGAGGTTTGACTGACAAACCGGCCGACTAGGTCATGTCTGCACATTTACAGCTAACAATAGTCACCACATTGTTGCCGATTCAGCAACTTTCTTGATATATTGAGCAACATTTCAGTCAAAAAATGGTATCGGCCAAAATTGGAATCGGTGAGTAAGGCTTTTTAAAATATCGGTAATAGGCGATCGGCCAGAAAACTGCAATCGGTGCAGCCCTTGTAACAACCAGTCCTGCTGTTTCCACACCTTTCTTGGAATAAAATCGACTTACAAAATCTCGTCTTAAGCAAAATGTTTCAACAATGAAACGACCTGAGTTTCCTCTTTCTCAATAGGAAACAAGCATGGCTTTAAGGACCGCAGACAATAAGCAGAACGTTTCCGAGCTCCTCAGGAATCGTGTACCCAAGTTAAAGTTTGGACTTTATTAGACCAGATCGGTTTTGCTGATGATATTCAGTGTTCATTATTTCATGTAAAAAGACACAATTTTTAAACAAACTGCAACTCTTGCACCGTTTTTATCTTTTGCCCTTTAAATGTAGAGATGCAACTAATAATTATTTTAGCTATCAATTATTCTGATGATTAATCAATTGATCTGATTTTTAAAAATTGGCACATTCTACCAATTTTTCATAGCCTTTTTTATGCAGTATTAGAAGTTCATCAAAAGAAGCAAAGAAACAAATAATTCAATTCCCTTTCCAAATTAGATGATAATTTTATTGCCTAAAATGCCAAAACTTTTTTTTTTTTATCTCTAATGCAAAAAGTTAAACAGTTTTTATCCAGTTTTGGCCTCATTAATAAACTATGTTTTTTTTTTTGTTGTCTTTTTTAATCTGCACACTCCAGTTAACAATTGATTACTTTGACGATTATTTCAAATAGATTAATACAACGAATCATGTCAGCCCTACTTAAATGTATGAGTTACTAGATGTTGGGCCAGTTCATGAACCTATAGTCCTTAAAGAAAGCCCTGTAGTTCTGCAGAGGAACTTCAGACGTATCAGAGTTCACATCACTTCATCGTACATCGTGTACTTTCCAGCGACGCTTGGAGACATGCAACCCGTTTCACAGCCGTTGTGTCTTCTCAGTCAAGCGTGCATCTCTGAGAAAAAACAAAAACAAAACACTTTGCCCCACCAAGTGAGACAAAGCACACTGCGGTGTGTGTGCACAGATGTGTTGTGGTCAGGTTGTATTTTCGTCTGGTCACTGATGGGTGTCTCCCCTTCGGACTCTCCCTAAATATCTTGAAACAAACAAGATCGGATCCTTCTCCGACTGCGCGGCTGATTTGTCTCCCTGGAGGATGCAGCTAAAATCAGTGTGAGAAACGGAGAGCTGCAGCAGACCATGGAGACTCCCATTGAGCAACGCTGATACAAAACACACACAACACACACAACAAAGTAAAATTACTTTCACAGTCACAGGGAAGTGCATCAGTTTCTTGCAGAGTCTTATGAAAGGGCCTTCATGCATGATTTTCAGCAGCTGGAGTCCATTCAGGGAATATGTAGGCTCAAATTTGGCTCAGTGAAATATGGACCAGGTCCATTTTGTTTCAAAAAGTGGGTCAGAGGATAAATAACTGAGCTGCAACTGCAAAATGTGTTGCCTTTCCCATACTAGCAGCAGGCTGCCTTTAGCAGAAACAAAACTCTGTGTCTACTGGATATTTAGAGGTGCTTTGTGATAGTGATAAAGATCATGTTAAAAATGAAACTATTCTTATTTTTTTAAGTAACTGCATGGTTGTGAATGCATGGCACAGCATTTATAGTGAACACAAACACAAATATTCAATAAATAAATTCCCATTTAAGAGGACACCGCTTCATTAAAAAAAAAAAAAGAAGTTAGATTTATATCACTAAACTGCAAAGTAAACACATTTAATCGTGTTTTTGAATTTTCTGATGTATTGATGCTCTCATGGAACAAACTGGATAAAATAAATAAAAATTCTATAAGAAATTTTTACTGCTTGATGATACAATAAATGCCCACCCCTAATAAATCATTTTAGTGTTGTGGAAAACTGAAGTAGTTTGAAAATCAGACATTGAGTATTGAAGCATATTAAAACTGATCAGAATGTTTTGCCTAATTTCTGATCTCAGTTTTTATCTAAGTGTTGTTCTGTAGATAGCAACTCTAGTATTGATTGATCTTTGAAAAACCTTCAGAAGATATAAGATCCACATTTATTATCTTTTGTCAAGCAGTCATTGGTTATGATATAACAGGATGATTGAATGCCTTGTGTGTGAGTTGCTACTTATTTAAATTGAAATAAATGAAAAATATGAGAAAAATTAAGCAAATACCATTGCTAGCATTGCTAACTGTAACTTCCCATAAGACTACCAACGTTTCCAAATATAGCTTGTTCCATTAAAAATACTGATTGAGCAACTTTGTTGTCCAGTTTTCAGCCTTCCTGTTTGCTGCTGACAGTCTTGCTTTCTCTCGCTCTCATGCAGCTTAAAATATCACATCTTTTAAACAGATTCCTATCTGTATGTGCTTCATTTTAAAAGAAAAAAAAGTACTAATGCTGAAAATAGCTATGTTTTTCACTCTTTAACAACTTAAACACCAGAGTGTCGTTTCCACAACCTGCTAACTCTTTGGCTTAAAACACCTGGTGACTGGAAAAAGATACATTTCTGAGTTTCCAAGTAGCTGGTTTTTGGTCAGAGCCTTTTCCAGTCACCAGCTGATTTTTCCACACCTCTGTATCCATAAAGATATTTTAATACAAAGCTGCAAAATTGCTCATGATCCAGTAATCAAGCTACTGATATTACACGCTTCCAAGACTTAATAAAGTCTAATAACCCATGTCATCATTTACTCTGTAGATCTTGGTGCAGAACTTGATTAATATCTGAAATTAGCTGAGACTGGAGGATTCTCACAGGAATATTAGCAACAGGTTCCTCAGATGAGATCTTCTTGTTGGAATTACCGCCGACTGTCATTGCAGCTTCATATCCGTGACATTAATCATTTTTGCTTCCACCGTCTGTGGAATGAATTTGTCTTTTTGTTTTTTCTTTCTCTCTTCTTTCCTCCCAGTGCAAACACATCCTGGCCGTCTACCTGTGTCAGGCTATGGCTGTGACCCAACAGGAGAGCATCTCTGATCAGCAGATGTCCGCGGTGCTGAGCGGGACCGGGGGCCCGTAGCAGCCCCACATGGCCGCCTCTCTGGCCTGCTGTATTTATCTGAGAGATAACAGATTCTGCTCTGTTTTCTTTTAGAAATGTAAGATCTCAAATAGTTACAGCTTTATTTTTAGTTGCTTTTTATCTACAGCTCCATCAGTTATGGAGTGAGAGAACATCTGGACACCGAGGTCACTTCCAAACCATCTCACTGCACAGTTGTGATTTTTTTCTCATGCGCTGCTACTAAATATAAAATCGTCGCTGCTTTAAAATGTGGGAATAAAATCCGACCTTACCAATATAAACATTGCCTTTATTAACAAAATAATTCACCATACATACAGTTTGCATCATGTTAAACAGTTGTGGTTTTGTGTTGAACGAATGAACTTTCGCCTCTGGAAAAAGTTGGACATCAGCTTGACCACAGTGGAGGCATTTTTCCTGATTAGTAACAACAGGATGGCACACAGACAAATGGGTACTTGGGAATGAAAGGCAGGAATGTTGAACTTGCCATTGTTCGCATTACCTTTTAAAATAAAAAAAAATCAAGGCAACAGTTTGACATCAAGCAGAAAGCCAGACAGCTACAGTACTTATTGTCACACATCAGTCAACAAAGACGATAAGATAACGTTACAGTGCAGTTACAGTATAGATGTCTCCATTGGAATGTCCCCAAACGTTGCGACACTCCTGTGTTTTAGCCCTTGAAATCAGACGGAGGTGGAAATCGAGAAACGCAGAAAGACAGAGCAGCAGCATAGACCGAGGGCTCCACATCAGAGCACTTATTTTACACCAGTGAAGCACACCAAATCAGGAAACTAAAATGTCAGTGCAACGTTCATCTGAATAGAGATGACTGTCAGGTGACCTTAACGCCCTGTGGTAGTTCATACATGGCGTGACTTTGCAGAAAGACCTTCTTATGCAGCTTAAGAGCTTTTCTTTGAATTATAATAATGCCTCTATGTCTAAAAATATTTACTTTTCACAATCTCCCTCACTGGAATCTGGATTTACTAACCTGTTTTTGTTGGCACACATAACATTACTCGGCTGAGTTAAAGTTTGTCTTACAGATTCAAATCTTTTGTTTTCTGAAACCAAATGGCTTGTGTCTGTTCCGTCTGTGGTTTTTAAGACTGACTGTGGGCGAAGGTTTGAACTCTTATGCCCAAAGCAATGACCACAGCTATGAAGTCTTATGCAAGCCACTAAAGAGACGTGTGACCAGAACCTGGTCAACGTGGAGTTACATAAAGGACTCTGATTTGAGGTGTCATCTTGCATGATGTCATGGTGAAGCAGCCAAAAAGGCTTCATGCCAACGCAAAGTTAGTTTAAAGGGTACGATCCGTTCTCCACTTCCTGAGCTTACGCCTGAAGAAATGCACATCACTGTAGGTGAGCTTTGCAGTTAAGCCAACTTCAACCCACTTAGCCATTTCCTGTGGAACACATACAGAGGTGACAGTTTGGTTTTTAGTGGTTACAGTAAGATGCATGGCGAAGAAAAGTGACGTGTTTCTTATTCATCCTATAATAAAAAAAAAAAAAATTGAGATTCTGTTGAGGTTATAAGCAATCTTTGCATTCCCTTAATTTAGTATAAATCCAGATTAGTTTGCCCCACAGGCTAAAGCTAACAGCTAGTCAGTTGGAGACTTTAATCATTTAAAAACAACTCTAGCATAAAATAATTTCAGTTCTTTTCTTCAAATACTATTTAGGAACAGTTACTCTGCTATTAAGGTTTCTGCTTTGAGGACTAAGGCCTCCATACCTGCGTTGTGCTTTATCTGTTCACCACCATAGCAACCAACTGGTTGCTTTTCACCGTTTTTTGTCTTCGTCTATGCCAGGTTAGCCGTTAGCTTAATTGTCCAGGAAGAACACTCTAAATCTGTCTAAAAATTGTAGATACTAAGTTATTTACTGCAGGTAAGTTACTAACTTTGAACCAAGGTTTTTACAGTCTTAAACTGATGAAAATAGTTAATAATCCCCAATTTTAGACCTTAAAACATCTTTAAAATGCCCAGTTACCAGAATTAAGTCATTAATTGAGGGGTTTCCTAACCTGTTACATTTTCCCATTGCATTTAGCTTGGTGTATATGTATATTTAGAAATATTTGGATATAAGACATCACAAAAACATCTTATTTTTTTACATCTTAATCTTTCAGATCCTACTTATGGAGTTGACCCTCGACCTGCTTACGTTTTAGAATTATATTCATTTTAGTTTGCTATCTCGGTTAGGATAATAAAATCAAGACATTCATAATTGGGTTTTATATAAATGAATAGTAAGGCTTAGAAGATTTCAAGGGCAATTAAAGTAGATGGAAAATCAAATGATCATTCATGTATGTCTTGATTTTAGATAAAACTTGTCTTGAAAATGTTTTGAATGCAATTTAATGAACTCCTGTTAAGCAGAACCTCACAATTAAAAAAAACAAAAAACTATACCGTCCCTTTATTTGAATTTTTAGCACTCTACAAACTTGGTTCTTATTTAAGGACCCATGAGGTCAGCTTGTCTGAGAAAACTATTGTGTACTGATGAATGATACGCAGAAATTCACGCTTTCACCTCAACTGCTGCCTTCCGAATTAAATTCATAAATAAATCTAAGCTGAAGAAAATGTGTCCTCCTCTCAGCAGACAGATGAAGCAAAGATCTGTGAGCTGCAGAATACCCACAGGTAAGGAAAGCTACCTCTGTACCTTTCTTTAGCTCCACAAGTACAGATGTAGCCCACACACGCCCACTCTCGCGTTTGTTTGATCAATACATTCTGAAAGACAAGGTCTTGTAATAAATAAATTATTTTAACACTGGCACTGAATGTCGAGAGTATAAAAAAAAAACAGCAGGGCACAAAAAGAGGAGTGTTTGTAGTTGGGACAGGGTGAATTCAGAACAATAAATAGCATCTTTAGTTTGGATCCTCACAGTCCTACAAATCCAGTTAGCTTCAACTATTTCAACAAAAATCCTTCAACAACAACAAAAAAGTTAAGACTTGTAGTTGAAAACTTCACAGACCCCCATCCCAACCCAATACAATTCATAAATAAAAGTCTACATTCAAGGTGGGATTGACATCGGTTCATCTTCACATTGTTCTGTAAACATTAGAAACCTCACGCCTTGACGTTGATGGAGTCCTCCGCCTCTACAGCAGAGGGTCGATGGTCACCGTGACCTCGTCTCTGTTGCGTCTGCTGCCATTGGAGCTGAGGTAAAGCTCCTCCTTGTGGCACAGGAAGTGCCGCACCAGGATTTTGCGGAAAGTGTTCCGGAAGTCCTGAATGCGGTAAGCGTAGATGATTGGGTTGATCGCGGAGTTGGCGTGAGACAGAATGATGGCCACGTACATGACAACCGGAGGCTTGTCCAGAGCGCCGTAAAACAGCGTGAGGCAGTTGAGGATGTGGACGGGCAGCCAGCAGACGGTGAAGAGTCCCACGATGATGGAGAGGGATTTAGCGGCCCGGATCTCCTTCTGCAGCAGGCTCTTGTTCTGGTTGTCGCCGTTGCCCACACACTTGAGCTCAATCTGCCTCAGCTGCTTCCTGGCCACGGTGAAGATCTTCACGTAGATGCCCAGCATTATGAGCAGCGGCACCAGCACGCATACAAAGAAGTTAAAGTACACCATGTACTGCATGTCCACCACGCTCTCAAAGAAACACCCTTTGCAGTCCGAGTTGTTGACCGAGCTGGAGTTCTCCCAACTCGGGTCCTTCATGTTCCACCCAAAGAAGGGAATGAGGCCGATGACAAAGGAGAGGATCCATAAAATGGCTATTATCTTCCTGGCGGTCTTTCCCGTCATCAACTCCTTGTACCTGGAGAAAACAGGCCACAGGTTAATATTATTCACAAAGGTCACAGTGATCTCACAAAACACATTTTTATCCATAACTCACAATATCTTCAAAGGTCAAAGTCACGATGAGATCATACAATCCCTGATCAATATTCAGCTTCGTGTTCGGGGGCAGAAGCAGAGACGGTCACCGTCGCTTTCTGTTTTTCTGAGAATCAGTGGAAAAAACTGAGCTGAAGGTGCAAATCTGCACCAACAGCTTGAAGACGTGTCTGAACATGTGTGATGGTTTCGAATCTCGAGAAGGCTTTATGGAAAAATGCAAACTTCGTTTTGTGGAACACATTTTGCAAGGAAAACAATAGTCCAGGAGAATTGTTAATTGATGTTTTGTATGCAAAATCCTGCAAAAGTATTTTGCTCCTGGCTTCATTTTCTGTTGCTTATGCAGAGACAAAAGCCAGCTCTGGCTTTATCAAACCAGGAAAGCACAGATAGAGATCTGCTGCAACAACATGGACCCAAACAGTCTTGTCTTTGTCATAGTCTACCAATCTGATCTTAACAAACACTATAGGGAGAAGTGAGGACAGGACCCCCAACATGCTGCAGCAGCCTGAAAAACAGGGTTTAGTCTGCAGGTGCTGCTTATCAAACAACATGGTTATCATGAACAAATATGAGCTCCACCATAAATAAAACTTTATATCTGATCTGTCTGAAAAATGTCGTAGAGCACTTTCTAAGGAATCGGAGGTCTACAATTCCACAGCTTGTTGGAAGGGAAGTGAGGACTGCTGTCACTCCTCCAGGAAGTTCCTCCTGAGGTCAGACTGTGAAAACTTCCGTTAGCATGTTAGATTTTACAAAAACACCAGACAGGTGCGGCCTGGTTTGAAGGGTTCTTCGGAAAAAAGAAAAAAAAATAAATCAACGTGGCGGCACAATTGAGGTTTATAGATTAGGTGTTAACAGATGCAGACACCGTGTTTGGTACGATGGTAGTAAGGTGATGCTTTGGACTCGTTTTGAATGCTGTGTTGCATTTATCGCACTCAAGATAGCAGAGTTCCAGTTGTCGTAGTCGGACAGGCCAGTGTTTCAAAATGGTGACACCCAAGAAGACATTGTTCGTAGTACCTCTTACTAACATCGTTTTCTTGAGCAAACACCAATTTTAATTCTTTCAGAGTTGCTGAACAAAACATTGATTTTAGATGCACTCTTACATGTGTATCTTGTAAAATAAATATGTTTCCAACACAGCTTGCCACTGTTACTGCCATAAAGAAATGAAAACCTGTCTTACCACTTTCTGAGGGAAGTCTGACTTCGGTTAACGTTCCAGTTGATTTCTCCGACTGGGAATTCAGAATTTCTGAGTTCTGACTACAAATGGCACACCAGGAGCTACAGAACCGGGACGCTACAGTCATTTAATCAACCATGAACTACACACCAAAGACTTTCTACAATCAAAACTGAACAAACTGGACAAAGTTCTAGAGCTCAGCAGCAAATCTACAATAGACTGAAAGTGCTGCAGAAAACCAAAATGTAGATCGCTAACAGATTAAAATGTTTAGTTGCATTATCAGAGGGCTGAGCAAAACAGATGGCTACAGCTGAAATGAAATTCCTAGTGACACTGCACAACAAGAAAAAGGGGGATGCGTGATAAACAGCTGTAAGGAAAATCTATAAATAGCTTAATGGAATCAAAGAACATACTGTATTTTTCCATAAAGTATTTATTCTCCACAGACAGAATCTTCCCGCAGCCATGCTCCATGTGCCTCTGTAGGGTTAAATAAAATGAAAGTAACAAGTCTCCTGCTTCTTTTATTCGTATATCAATGTATGCAGGTCTTGGTCTGTGAACAGGAAGCAGGTGTTTTACATCTTCTTTTCTTTCAAATCTTAAGATTTGTGCTAAAATGCTCCGCGGCGTTTCAAAGTGATAACACGCATCAAAACACGAGCAAGAACTTGCAGTCGGTTTCTCATAAAAACGCTCCCTGGCTGAAACATGAAGCCAAGAGCAGCAGCTGTACATCTGGGCCGCTTGTAGGGAAGCTGGGTGAATCATTTTGGGTTCTGTCTTGACCGTCCCGATCACGTGAACCACGCTGGAAGCCCAACATGCCTTTTCCTCAAAGTGATTCAAAGGCACAGCCGCATGCTTATGACTCACAAGGACGCTGACAGGGACACGTTTCCAAACACAGGGGTCAGTCTGAGCTGGAGGTGTCACATGTAGTATGTCTGGGCGTGAGAGCTGCACACTGAATAGGGAAGAACACGGCTCTTTTCTTGGCTAACGCTGAGGAGAGCTCTGAAAGGATCAGGCATTATGACCGCTGTGTGTCTGCAGACAACAGAAGAGGCCCATTTCATTAATGTGGCACACTGAAAAAACACAACTTTTGCTGTTATTTTCTGTTGAAAATATCTTAGTACACTTGAAGTAAGAGAAAACAAACTGATAAGTAACCTTTCAGCAAGATATGACAGCTTGTTTTAGGCCAATAATTAATTAATATTGATGAAAAACTGATGACGTGCTATCGGAATCATGTCTCAGTATGAGTAGAGCTGCTGATACGACTGGTCCGATTTTCACATCGGTCCTGACGTTGAAAAAAACTTAATCAGGTATTGGTGACAATGTGTCCAATCCATAACGGCAGATCTAATCAGTCTAATTCTATGCTTTGTGCTCTTTGTCATACTTTATTATTTACTTCACATTACATTTGGAGTTCCTAATTGCACTTCCTGAACTATTTGAAAGTTTATTTTTATATTTTTGTCCAAAGTAGTCAATCTATTGCTTTTGTCAGTTTCTTTGTTATTTATCTTACATTGGCTGCTGTACTCATAATTGCACTGACTGAACAAATTGTTTTTTTTTTTTTTAGATGTTTGACCAAGCTTGTGAAGCTTTTGTTGTATTTAAGTGTTCTGTATTGGTGCAAAGTTACCAAATAAATTTGTAATCCGGTGCATTTATGTCTGCGCTTAAAAAAAAGAAACATTTTAAGTCAATACTACACCGTTTTTCTGTATCGGATCGGTATTGGCCGATACTAAACCTCAGAGTTCTGTATCGTTATTGGAAATAAAATAAAAAAAGTGGATTGTGCTTCTCTGGTATAACTGAAATTGTATCCCAGAGGATCTAGTACTTTTTTAGTCAGTATTAAGGAATTATTGACTTATAACAAGTTCTTAAATCTTGCAAAAAAGTGAGTTTAAGTTAGTTTTGTTTTATTTTGAGTGTACCAAGATATTTGCACTAGAAACTAGGAAATAAAAATAGATTTGGGTTTTTTGCATTTTCCTCCCACTTTATAATTAAATCTTACTTTTTGTTGGTCTGTCAATCTCAATAAAATACATTGAGCTTTTCTGTGTATGACATGGAAAAGTTCAAGGCCTTTTACGAGGCTTTGTTTCGTTACTCCTCAGGCAGCACTTCCTGGATTTGATCTCCGCATTAACTGGGTGGAACAGTAGCATAATATGATGATAAATGAACAATCGTTTTATGCTGCGGTGATGGAAATGTGGCTTTAATCTGGGCTTCGTGACGGAAAATCACTGCTCCTGTTTTACAGGGAATTTGATTGTAAAACAAAAGTTAGGTTACCATAACAGCAGAAATTATTTTTAATCATTATCCCGTTCTGCCCCTGCCTTTTTATAATTCTGATCGCTATGAGTTTATGAGCCCTGGCTCTGTCCTGTGACCCCTGCTGGGGGCCCAGCGGGACGCCCCAGGGGGCATGAATAATAAAAACACGCTACCCAAAGCAGCCCAGCAGAGGAAACCAAGGAGCTCATCATGACCTGCGCTCTTCCTTCATTACCCACAACATCCTGCTGTTGGTCTCCGTCGCCCGCTCCGTCTTCCTTTTAATCACTGAGCACAACGGCGAGTGTGGGATCCGTTTCCCAGAGGGCCCATCTCCTGAACACCGCTCCCCACTCTCCGTGGAGACAGCGAGCAAACCAGCGGCTGAACGGATTAGTCCTGGCATGACGACAGCCCGCCGGCATCTATCTTTGTTCTGCTTTCTTCTCCAAACTCTGCTTCCTCAGTCCCCAGGGGCCACCGACCTCTGCCACGCCACACACAAACACGGCCTGAGCACTCCCAACATCCACTTTAAAGTCCAGCTGCGTCCACAGCAAAAGCCCCACAAACTGTCCAACATGTGACAGCAGAGTGTTTGTCACTGACCTGGACAACCTCTCAATCATATCAACTCCCTTCAGATTGTTTGTACAAACTGACTGGTGAGAAGAAAACTGGTGCAAAGTTCCTGCAGGAGACAAAGTCTCTGCTGTAAATCTGTCTGCAAATCTTCACTGAGTCTTCTGATTAAATACTATAACCATGACCCGAGTAATAAACCAACCATGAGCTTCCCAACTCCCAGTGATGCTCTGTAAAGACTACAACAGCAATATACTACACCAATAATATAGCACAGTATATTACTAAACCTTAGTTTATCTGGTTTAAAGTCCTTTAATGAGATATTGAGAACCTGGAAGAGTCCAGAGATTTCTCCGGCTGCGTAGCGTAGCTGCTGCTGCATTAAAGAAGCCAGCTAACTAGCATCGTTAAGCAAATAAGCTAGTAAGCTAGCTTCTTTTGAAGTTAACCTTTTGCTAGCTTTCAAATTCGACAAATGACTAATTTCCAGACAGACAGCCATGTTGTGGAGAAAATATGTCACGCAATAAGCTTTTAAAAAGTGCTAAATTTACCAAGTGCTTTAAGTCTGTGTATAAAAATCAAAATAAGTAGCATAATATTAAGATGCCTACTATAATCAATATGTTCTGTTGTTTGCACAGCAGAGGGAATAACCTCAATTTTCCATGTGTATAAGCAGTCTGTGTAACTAAAGGTATACTAACCTTTGAACAACAATTCAGAGGTTAATAAAGTAACATTTTTCATAAACAGCCATAAGATTTGCTTCTCTTAAAGGTGTTTTAAGACCG